AAGGGTCGGCCTTCCCTGCCATCCAGTGAGATTGTGATTCATCTGCTCTAGCAATAACATGGAGACCGTTTCAGTGAACAACACTGAAACTTTAGCTGCGTAAGCAATGGTTTCCCGATAAAATTGTCAGCATTTGTTTCTCCTATTTTGAAGACTGACAGTGACCATCTGATGTTCTATTTCCTACCTTTATTTTTTAAGTATATGAATAAAAAATCCAGTATTCTGTCTAAAGAAAAGTTTACAATAAACTAAATTAATCTAAAATCTTATTCTGTTTGATTAGTAAAGGTTCATCCCTTACAGCTAATAAAAACTATATTGAAATATTATGCACAAGGTGTCTACATGAATCACTTTTAGTATCATTTAAAAAAATCTCAAAACCTATTATATTTTTCATTCACTGATCATTTCCATTCCCTTGAACTACATGAGATGGACCAAAATAGAAAATAAAAGTTATTGAATACCATACTGATTTTCTCCACATATCTCATTTTGCATATATCGTAATTTACAAACCCTGGTCTCAGAGCACCTAAACAGCTTTTGCCTCAACCACGAACACTTTTAAACAGAGCTACTGCCAAAATAAGCAATAAGAAAGTCTTCAGAAAAGAGAAAACTATAGCAAAATGTTAGCACATGAAACGCTTATCTTCTCTAAACTAATAGAAGTCACTATAAGGTAAACTACATCCTAAGGTCTATAGTTACCTCCACAGTCCCCTCAACTATGCTGAGAGAAAAAAAGTCCATCCCACATCTTTCCTTTATCTCTCCTATTATACACACACACAAAATCCTTTCCAATCAAGTTTGTACTCAAAGTTACCTAAATAAAACACCATACAAATCAGAGAATGCAACCATGCCGCAAATGCATGCAGACATTCTACAGCCAGCCTATGCCTATTCACGTGGGAGGTTTTGAGCTGAAGGCCTGCTCGACTGGTTTATTGTGTGCTCAGGCATCTGTGTAATAAACCTACTAAGAAATAATATCTAACTGTAAGATTTAAAAAAAAAATTATAATGACTTTCTTCATGTTAGCTAAATAGGTCTGAAGTAAATATCTAACTGTGTAAAAAGGAATTAATAGGTATATTCCAAGCAATCATGCACACCATGAAATACACTCATCTGCATCCATTTGCATCACTAAGTTCATATATTATAATGATATTTGATTATTTTAGTCACTGTGGTTAAAAGTATTTCAGCGCATGGGAATAAAATCCTTCATAATAAAGATTACAATAACAATCAATAATTTAAAATAATTTCATTATTTCTCATAACTAAACAATTTCTATAAATACCATAGTCAATTATGAAATATGATCACATCAGAATACTTCATAATTGTTATATCAATCTGGAACCCACGTATATGAAAAAATTGCATATATTGGCTCATATATTTTGTTCCATAAACTCACACACTTTCATTGCATGTACAGAAAATAAGAAAAAGGATCTTTAAAATATGCTTCAACTATCAATTAAAAAAATAATAATAATAATGTGACTTCCAAAAACAATTTATTAATTCTTATTAAAAAGATGAGAACAAATCCTGCAAATTTCCCCAATATGCACTTCATCACAACTCTACGGAAGAAGTATTGTGCCAATTGTATAAGCTTATTTCCTAATCTACAACCTCAATGGTTCTCCACCAATGATAAATTTACTGATCAATCATATGTAACAAAATAAAATTCATAGGCTTCTATACAAAAATACTTTGACAAAGAGTATGTACAAATATGCACTTTAGAAAATAATGAAGATTCTGCCATAATTTTACCAAATGACTTGCATAATATACATAAACATCAGCAAAGTGCACAGAGATACACAAGTATGCAGATAAATACATACTTTACAAACTCATCCACATCAACAGCATATGCACAGGTACACACACAAACAGGCACACATGCATGCATACATGAAAGTATGCACACACAAATACATATGCATGCACACACCAACACACACACACTCACATGTACCAAAGAAATGCACACACATATGCAAACATACACACTAAAACGCATATGCATTTACACACACATATGCAAGTACACACACAAGCATGCAGGTGTGCACACGCACGCACAGACACGCACACACACACACACACACACACACACACAACACACACACACACACACACACACACACACACACACACAAGCACACACACACACACACACACACAATTAAAAATGTCAATAATGATAACAATTATATTGGATTCTTACATTTAAGCTTTAGAGGATTTCATAAACAAACAACCTTTATCACAATACCAAGAATTAGGCGTGCCTTGCAGCCACTCACATGTTCCGTACTGGGAGCAGTTTCAATGCAAAAGTCCCACCTACTCCACAAACTACATCTTTTGTGAAAAGCTGTGGTTCTTTTTCCATGCAACTATATATCTAAAAGCTTTTGTATTATTATGCAGATCTATGAGCATTAATT